CATGTGTGATTACATGACTTTTTACATCTTTTTTTTCTTTTAGATTGTAGAAATATATTTGTTTATTTTAATTACTTACTGTATGCTATACTGTTTCAACAGCTCTTGTAAAGAAATTAATACTCAATCATTAAGATTTATGATTACCATTCTTTTTTTTTCCTTTTCAATTTGCCACTTCAGAACTTTCATAGAGAGTCTTCTGAGAGGCACTTTCCTCAGCCAAGATAAGAGTCAAATGTGCTACAGAGAGATTTTATTTCACTAATATGTAAAAAGCTCAGTGCTTTTATGCTAGGAGTTCTCACTTGAGCTGTCATGGTAATCATAAGCCTGGGAATCAAAGCAGCTAAGCAAGTAAATTGATCTCTGATTCATTGTTTTTTTTTCCCTTGATGAGACTATAACTGTTAATATGAAATTATCGAAGCCTGAAATAGTCAATATTTCTGTTCAACACGATAGGTTGCTCTAAAAATTAAAAAAAATCTAACAGACTAAAAAATCATTAACTAACAAAAATCAAAGGTATAGAAATTTTATGTATGATTACAGGTTAACAGATAGATACTTATAGAATAATCTTGCTCGTAATTGTACCTTCCACACAACTTTTGATTGGTATATGGACAAGTGAAAGGAGAGTAGAAAGATACTTATTATATTGTCTTTATTGTGTGGCCTGTACCAATTGCCTATATGGCTGCCTGTACCAATTTGATTTTGTCGTTCTACATTGCTTCATCTGTGACCTGTCTCAAGTCATAAAAATCATAAAGTACTTAAATATTACATAGACAGTGTATTATTGATGTTACTGTGAGATCCCCGCTATCACTGTTGTGCTCTGAGTAGATTCTCTGCTGCATTTGTTAATTTTGACCATATTGTTAACTTCTACAATTTTTTTTAATTATTTGCTCTGTCTTCTCTCATTTTTATAAATTTAAAACACATATTTGTGGACTTGTGCTTCTTTCAGGTGCCTTCACTTTTGGTTTCCCAGTTATGTTTCTGGCACTCTGGAAACCCTACAAAGAAGAAAAAGAAAAAAAAAACCCAGAGAAAGGGCAGCAGAGAATCTATCCCAAAAGCAGGCAACAGTGCATGAGAAAGAAAAATCATCAGTCCCCCCCCCCATCAAAATATACACCTTCAGCAGAATAGCCAAAGTGGCCAAAATTCTGTTGTTTAGCACAGTAAGCCCATTGAAGCAATGAAACCTATGGAGGAGTTCTCTCATCAAATTCCCACTGATTCATTTGCATCTATATACTGTACATGGAGAGTACTTTTTTGCTGATGTTTCCGTGATGCATTCATTTTCAAGGCACTTCAGAAAGCAGTGGCACTTGTTCACGCACATCCAGAATGGTTCCCTGATGTCTCATTCCCAACATAGGCAAAAGGGGATATCAGTCCCTCTCTACCCTGTCCCCTCCTGCTTTGCTGTCTCCTCCCTTACCTCTCCTTGCTTTACCCTTCCATGGGATGTAGAAGGTTGAAGACTAGCCTCCAGAAAAATTCCCATAAGGAAACATGATCACATTGCACACACCAGGATCAACAAAGAATAATACAGTTCTCTAGTCCACATTAGTAGATCTTGCTCTGAAGCAGAGTATACAAAAATATACCACTACCTGACAGTGGTATTT